GAGGCGACGCATCAGAGTCAGTCAGCCGCCCCAGAGGCGACGCATCAGAGTCAGTCAGCCGCCCCCGAGGCGACGCATCAGAGTCAGTCAGCAGTTCCAGAGGAGACGCGTCGGAGTCCATCAGCCGCCCCAGAGGAGACTCATCAGACTACTTTACCCCCCCTAGATGAGCTGCATCGGTGCCCTTCACCTTCACTAGGGAAGATGTGTCAGAGTCCTTTAGCTTCCCGAGAGGAGACGCAACAGTGTCAATTAGCTTCCTTTCCAGAGAAGCCTCAGAATGTTTTAGCTTCCCCAGAGATACCTCAGTGTGCATTAGACTCCTTGCCAGAGGAGACTGAAGAGAGTCCTTCAGTGACCTCTAATGAGACTGAACAAAGTCCTTCGGCTCCCACAGAGGAGACGGGACAAATTCGGTTTCTCCCCCTGCCAGAGGAGCCTCAACAGATTCTGTTAGCCTCAACATCAGAGAAACGGCATCATTATCCATTAGTTCCCTTTTCAGAGAAGACCCAACAGAGTCCTTTATCTGTGCCAGAGGAGACATATCAGTGTCCTTCATCTCCTCTAAGGGAAATTAATCAGAATCATTCAGCCCCTTCCAAGGAGATGCTACAGAATCATTCACCAACTTGTAAAGCAGCTCGTCAAACACCTAAACTATCAGCAGAGGTGACTCATCACATTTCTCTACCATCTTCAGAGGAAAGCCACCTGGATCCTTCCTCTTCTTTACAGAGCCTATACAGATATCATATACCATCTCTGGAAGACAGCTCAAATATTGTTGAAAGCCACATTTCGCAGACCCTGCATCACAGTCCTGAAACTATTCAAGAGGAGTCCAATCAGAGTCCTGCACCATCTCCAGATGGTAACTATCATCTTGGTGCACCAAATTCAGGACAGAGTAATCAAAGTTTTATGCCATCTACAAAAGAGACCCATAGGACCCTTGGTCCCTCACTCGAAGAGACATGTCAGATTCTTGGGGTCTCATCCACTGAAAAGTCAGTTCAGCCTCTTGGGTCGTCACTTGTCAAAGAGACCAACGGAGGTTTTGGGGCCTCACTCATCGAAGAGACCGATCAGGCTATTGGAGCCTCATTAGTCCAAGAGACTGATAAGACTCTAGAGGCCTCACCCGTTGAAATGGCTGATGGAGCTCTTGGGGCTCCATGCTACAAAGAGGCTGATGGGGCTCTTGAGGCCTCACCTGTTGAAGGGACTGATGGGGCTCTTGAGACCTTACCCGTCGAAGAGACCGATGGGGTTCATGAGGCCTTACCCGTGGAAGGGACCGATGGGGCTCTTGAGGCCTTACCCGTGGAAGGGACCGATGGGGCTCTTGAGGCCTTACCCGTGGAAGGGACCGATGGGGCTCTTGAGGCCTT